ATCTAACAAGACTTGTATCACTTGCAATCACATCCTTCAAACTGTTCACTTATTCACAGTGCTTATCTGTAATAAACAATTTTGAGTGTTCCTTCACAAATTTCTATATTAGATTTAAAATAATTAAGACAGCCTGGTCAAGTCAACCCTCGAAATCATTCATGCAAATATCTTTGCTCTTTCAGTTACATCTCACTCGTTGCATCCTGCTTCACTCAAGCCTTCTTGCCGTTTCAACTCCAACAGGATCACAACATATTCTTCTGTCGTCTGCACCAGCACCTCTTGTAGCAAACACAGGTTGACAAAACGTTTTGTCATCAGCGAAATGCACAGTTCCACCAATTCATGATCCAGCGTCACATTATCTAACGACCAAGCTTCTGCAATATTGTCTAGAGAGATTCTTCTGGCATCCAGTTGCAACCCTCAAAAGAGCTTTCTTTACCTAGCTCTGCGAAAATCCACACGCTCTAGTAGGCGATCTTGAAAGAGCCGAGACTCTGTGCCAGCAGATAGAGCCGCGCAGCATTTCCTGTGGTTATTGTGATGCTGCCTGTGTATGCGTACTTGGTGACAGCGTCAACGATGCTGAAAGAACAGTGAAAATGAGGATATATGCATATATCCTTTGGAAAACTGCTTCCATTGGACTACTATAACAACCGGTTGAGACGCCAATGCTTTCAGCGAAAGTGAAAATGTGACTGCCACGATCAATCGGTATGCCTTCACTCGTTTTACATCCTCCCTCTAGAAGTCGAAGCATGAAATCTATGTCCATCAATCCACGGTGATTTGTAGGTCGATTAGTTTGCCCTGTTCACGCAAGATGCAAAACTTGTGGCTCAAAGATGAGCCTTCACTCTCATCTGAATACCTCATTGTCTCCATCGGTTGCCGAAGAAAGGTGATTAAGAACACGAAAAAGTGATATTTATGGTTAGCACAAGACATGTAGGAACGAATGCAGGACCAAACATGCATTGTGCGTTGAGAGGCCATTGAGCGACCTTGAAGGAACCGTTGGGATTGGTGCAACGCGTGGAAGATGAGGGCACCTCTGCCAAATCTTCGGAGGTATTCATTCTTGTACTTTGCTTGTGCTTCAATGAAATGCCTCGACTGGCGTTTTATATCGCCTCCTAGGTCACTCGAGCACCTGAGGCTTCGTTTTATACTTTGATGGGTAGCAGGGACTAAGGGATATGCCAGGAGCTCCGTCTCTTCTGTGCGTTGAAATGTGCTGTGGATTGGATAATCCGTGTTGACCCCTAACAGAATGTTTGTAACTGACACTCGGTAAATGTTCGTATTCTCTGTTTTCAGGAATGCTACTAATAGTCGTAAATCATCTGAAAAATCTTGTGACGGGGCTGTCTGGGGAGTTTTTATGAAGATTCCCACACCATTTTCCTACTTGCCTCATGTATACCAGCAGTAGTGGATCCATTGCTGTCACCCTGCCAGTACTTCTATCGCATTCCAAGTCTACCAACACTTGGAATGTTTTTGCACCAAATTGTGGGTACAAAGTTCCAGGAAGGTGACTGTTGTGCAGTCATTCACATGCGAAATGCATTACAATGTCCAAATTTTCTCAATTTTGTCGACTACAATTTGCAAGAAATAACTGTAAAGGTGTATTTACATGTATTTTGTACTAAAGGGTCCTTTTAAAAAAATGTATTTGCATGCCGTTATGCCAAAGCATAAGGTGTACAGCAAATGCAAACGCAGAAAATGATATTTGTTATTCAGTAATTTTATTTGTGGGGTCACAGATATGTACTATAAATAATATTGGATAAAAATGCGTAGCTAGTTCCTGGTTTATTACAATTACTCTGACAATTATGCTTTTTAAACGAAAAGGTTAATTTGTTGGGTTATTTTAAGAGCCAACAAAAAACAGAACATATTTGGGAAGGTCCAAATGCAGAGCTCTTTACTGCCTCTGGGAATCTTGCCGAAAATCCTACTGCGAAGTGTGTTCAGATTTCTCTCGCTTCCCCTTGGAGGTACATATAAACAGCACAAGCATTCTGTAGCCCTTTTGTTTTTCAAGCACACTCTCCTGTGCTTTCCCTTTAAGTTGTCGTTGTGTATGCCATTGTATAATTTTCTTTCCTGCGATTGTAGGCAAAACCTTATCTTCGAATATCACTAGTGGAGCACCTTTTAGGGCTGCATCATGGCGTGCTAAAAAGTATTTCTAAGTACTGAGTTGTGCGTTTCGAACGAAGCACTTTGTAGGCGAGAGGACTTTGACTACGCGTACTTCATCACTGTCTCTCAAACAGCTAGACTTTGAGTCCTTACTCTTTCAGGCGTTAACTAGGTTAGCCGTATATAGTGCTACATGCTAGTGTCGTCTATTGCAGTCATCATTGACTTAAGGCGCTGTACTTATTCTCCATTATATACTTAAGAATTAGCCTCGTATTTAAGGATTAAAAGTAATCACATTTTACTTAGTGGAGTTGACGCATAACGCACAATTTTTTCATGAAATGTACTTATCGGCTGTTTGGCTAAAGAAAACTAAATAGTTGTTATTATAACTTTTACTAAAAAAAAATTTATGCCAAAATTTGGAACATTCAATATCGTAGGTTCTTTCCTTTTTGGAACGTTTTGTTTTGTATGAATTTGTCAGAGATCCTGCATTCTGCTTCTTCAGCTTGGGGATGGCTCACTTGAATTTGCATGTGAGTACATGAATTGTTTGCGGCGGTGGTTCTTGACGGTTTTGCTCGTACTTGCTGCAGGTGTTTATGGTAGGTGAAACTTCAGCCAAATTTTTCAGCCCTTTGATTTATTAGAAGTCGAATT